CCCCAAAACAAAACCATAGCCAGCCCCATTGGAACGCGATGAGGCTGAAAAACAAATAAAAAACAACAAAAAACACCATAGCCAGCCCCATTGGAATGCAATAGGGCTGAAAAAACACACACCCCAAAACACCAAAAAAATCACAGTACAGCACAGAAACATATCCCCAAAACCCAAACCCACCCTGCAAAACAAAGTAAATGTACTTACTCAGGAGCTGAAAGCAGCACCAGGCAGTCCGGAGCCTCCTCCAACACACACATTCTAACTGTTGAGGCTAAAGAGCTACAAAGAAGCTCTTCGCCAACAAATGGCTAGTACTCTAATTTGAATTCCCCGCCTTTTTTCCATGCCTCTTTTGTTTGCAACTCGAAGATCCGGCCGCAAGTCGAAGCAAAATTTTGCGGCTGGAGCTGGTCGCAACTCGAAATAGTCGTATTTCGGGACGGTTGTAAGTTGAGGCACTAATGTATGTTCTACTAATGACAGCAGTGTCCTGAGAGCATGACTTCAACATTCAAACTCTTCACAGGCAAGATTACAATCTTCCTAGTCACTGAATGACACAGCAAAAACACGAATGATAAAACTTTTTAAAAATCTGAATTTCTTTGTGTCTATCCCAACATAGACTGTAAGGACAATATCAGATACAGTACATCTCCTAAAATTCTTCGAAGCACATCACGATAATAACCAAGTTGCATCATGTAATTAGACTGCATATTAAAATTCTGTTAATATGGCAGGTTTCTCTTCATAGAGGTACTTCTACACAGAGAGTTCCTACTTCTGTTAATTAAAACAAGCTGAGCTGCAATTCCATCTTTTTCAGAGAAAAAAGAGAAGAAACAAGAGGAAAGCACAAGAGGACTGGAAATTGACCACATCCTTGTCTGAGCTTTTCATAAACTGCCACGAATGAAGCAGCACAATTGCACAGTAAAAGCCCCATCTGGAGGCACACTTTAAGAGATGTCAGAATATCTCGCTGTCTTCAAAAGGTACAGTTTGACTAGAATACCCACTGAGTCTGCCACAGCAAGATCTAGAGGCCAAAACAATGTAGAGTTAGAATGTTAAAATGTAAGCTGCAGTAAAGACCAAAACACTATTTCATTTCATACTCAGAAAAATTATATTGTTTAGATGTTATCATCCATCATTCCAGGACTTGTCCTGCTAATTATATAGCTCATACTGCCAAAACCACAGATGCAAAGATAATTTGGGGCCCAAATCATTATCCTAGCAGTTATGGTGTTGAAAATGAGGTCCTTTATTTGCCCCAGCAGGCAAAAGGTGTAACCAGAGATTATTTGAGGCTATTCACAGGTGCAATAAATGTGAATATTTATTTAAATCACTGCAGAAAAACAGGGAATAAGATCCATGAAATGAAGGCATAGGTAAAGGTAAAGGTTCCCCTTGACAATTTTTGTCCAGTCGTGTTCGACTCTAGGGGGCGGTGCTCACCCCCGTTTCCAAGCCATAGAGCCAGCGTTTTGTCCGAAGACAATCTTCTGTGGTCATATGGCCAGTGCGACTTAGACACGGAACGCTGTTACCTTCCCACCGAGGTGGTCCCTTCTGATCTACTTGCATTTGCATGCTTTCGAACCGCTAGGTTGGTGGGAGCTGGGACAAGTGACGGGTACTCACTCCGTCCCGTGGATTCGATCTTACGACTGCTTGGTCTTCTGACCCTGCAGCACAGGCTTCTGCGGTTTAGCCCACAGCGCGACTACGTCCCTGAAATGAAGGCATAATACTGTATAAAAGAAATAAACGGAAAATCAATGAATTTTTAACACAATACAAAGCAATGATGAAATGAAAAGTGTAAAGCAGAACAATCTAGATTAAGGTATGACGTGAAATTACAATTATGCAAAATTAGCCTAACTTTCCACCAGCCCTCTAGTTGAAGCTCAGCATGTTCAGTAGTCTCTGGCTGGAAGATTTAGAAAGAAAGACAATCATGCTGAAGGAGTTGCTGCCAAAAGAAAAAGTTGAACTGAACTGGGCAGGATCATTCTAAATCAATACAGCAAAGTTCAGGGATAATGTTTCTAAGACAAATATATACTGGTACACATTTTTCCCAAGTAGAAGGGTACAAAAGGAATTGGAAGATTTGATGCTGAATGTACAGAAGGGTTTTGCTAAAAGGATTTATTTTAAAATTAAACTTGTTCAGAAGTGCTAAAACTGGACACAAGATTAAGACTCCACAAGTAAAGCAAAGAGAAAAAACACCCCATTTATGTATTACTGATAGGATATTTCACGCAGTGCATTGCACTGTTGGGTGGATAAATAAATAAATAAATACATACATACATACATACATACATACATACATACATACATACATACAGTATTTGCCAAATAATGAATTATCCTTCATTAACTATCAACAATTGTTTCTGAAGGGATTGGGGGGTCCAGGGGCCTGGTGCACCAATTTTTTTTTTTAAATAGGAATCTCCGTTGTCCCTGCACTTCCTCTAGTTACAAAATCTAGGAGGCTGCCACTAAAACAATAATGCAATTATTTTGGCTTAAATTTCGAAAAATCCAGAGGAGTAAAGGCCTGTAAAATAAAGGCTCCGGTACACCAAGATTCTGGAACATAATAAGCTATTGTAACACTACATTATTATAGTTACAGAGAGTACAAACACTATATCTGCTCATAGTAACACATAGCAACATAAATGCATTCTAGTTATTTCAATTACTTTAGTTCTCTCCCAGAACTCAACTGACAGTAATTAAAACAATTCCTTTTGCTAGGCAGTGTTATGACCTTACTTGGCTGCAGAGCAAGCTAATTGTTTTGCAATGACTTTAGTAAACTGTTGTTGGAGCCTTATTTTTAAAAGAACTTTCATTTTCAGGGGTGCTTTTTCTATATACTCCTTTAATTATTTTAACACTCTATGCACACAAAATTTCACAAATTGACAATGGAATGAGCAAAAAGACATATACATGATGGCCGAGACAACAAAGCTTTGGCCAAACTGAAAGACAATAGAACAGTAAAGACAGGCTACAAAGTTAGATACTGTACCCAGATAAGATGCTACAATCACCTCATGTGCCACAGGCCAAAGAGATTATTGGCCAGGAAGAAAGAAAGATGGTGCAATGCACATTTTCTCCCAACTTTCCATCTATCAATACAGAACTGAATTTTTGGGGTGAAGTCAACCAAAATGCAGGGAAAGTTAAGGTCATCAATGGAACAAAACACAATTGTGACTTGGAAGAAGGACACTCAGTCACATTGATTCATGTTCACATTTACACACATAAGCAAATGCTTTTTGGTTTATTTTTTTCTCATGTAATTTTTATTTCTGCAGATTTTGATTGACCTGGGCCCTTTGGGTGTTAGTTTGCCTTGATTTTGAGAGAAGCTTCAGTTTTCACAATGGGTTAGAATCTTCCATTTTTCCTTCTCATTTTTCCAATCTGAATTCTTCTGGATCAATTGTGCACATTTTTCTGAGTCTTCAGGAACCTGATCCTTGGAAACAGGTAGCTATAGTTCTTTCTTTCTCAGTCTTTGTGCCAAAGTCTACTGAAATTACTGAGCTTCAGTTAGAGGGCTAGAGGAAAGTTAGGCTAATTTTGCGTAATTGTAATTTCATCTGATACCTTAATCCAGATTGTTCTGCTTTACACTTTTCACATCATCATTGCATTGTACAGTATTCTGTTAGAAATTCACAGATTTTCCTTTGACTTTTTAATCTTGTGCCTTCATTTCATGGATCTTATTTATCTGCTGTGATTTAAATAAATCTTCAAATTAATTATTCCAGTGAATAGCCTCAATCTCTGGTTAAACTCTTTGCCCACTGGGGCAAATAAAGGACTTCATTTTCATGTGTCATAACATTTTTTTTTTGCCGAAGATACCAATACAGAGAGAGAAAAAACTTGTGCTATGGATGAAATTGGGCTTGGATAATTCCAACTGCAAAAATAAAGGGAGAGTCTTCAATAGTCGAATGCTGACAGAATATTCTGGATATCGTATCAATACAGGCATATTCCTGACAAATATACTGAAATCTCAAAAGAACAAAAAACTGTTCAGCGTTTCAAGCATCCTCATTGCTAAACAATAAAATCAGCTTGACGAAATACATTTTAAAATATCATTAAAAGGCTAATTATGCAATGCCTACCAACTTCCTTTTGTCTAGTATGAAAGGGAATGTTCTTATTTTAGCAGGGTGAGTATAATAGTCTATGAATTATAAGATCAAAGAGGCAAACTGTATGTTTTCTAAAGTAAGAATTCCTTCACCAAGTTTTACACTTACCACAGCTAAAAGAGTGGTGTGAAGGGATCAGCACTAAACCCAAAGGACAGCCTGTGCACGGCAAGAAAGAAAGCAACTCCCTCGTGCTTTTTACAGGTCACTACGAAGGACCATGTTAGCAGATCCACTCCAGACCCTTAACAGGCAGCTCTGCTGCTACTAGTAATTAGCTTGGACAGCTCTGGCTCCAAGAGCAGCAGCAAGGCTACACCATAATGAGCTCAGCTGGGATTAGCAGGACAGGGCATGGAACCAAGAGAGCTGAGGCATTCTGCATTGCGTATGTATCAAGGAGATCAAACAAGGATGGCTGGCTAGGTTATCCCCTCACCACCTCATTCCAAAAATGAAGCACGGCAGTGTGTAAAATACAAGCTAATGAAGAGCGACACCTCCAACAGATGAGAGCCATATTAATTAACACAATCCCTAGATCATGTAATACAGTTTCAGTTAGTGCTAGCAAACTTGTTGTCACTGATTTAAAGGAGCTGGGGGGAGAGACTGTTTTTCCTCTCTGTTTCTGGTAGAAGAAGATGATTTAATTTTGGTATTTGAAAGGAATTCCTCTGTGTGGCCTTCAAGGCCCAACAAGAAAAAGATTCAAAGAATCAGCAGCACATTTCTCAATGTATATCATTTTTTTAAGAAACTCACTTTTCAATCAATAGCTTTTTGTTCTCCCTTTTGAAATATGCCAGCTCATTCCATGTAGCATCAGAATCTTCTTGACACAGATGCTGAGGATCTGAACACTCCTTTCCACTTTTACTCCTCCCAGGCCTGTTTGTTAAAACAGAAAAAATAGCCAATAAAAATGAATAGATTTCAAATCCCAGAGGAGAAAAAGGGCCCAAACAATTGATATAGCTAAACCCAGCAACATTACTGAAATAATTCTCCTAAACTTTGGTGCACAGAAATTATAGTATCCATTAACTAACTTTAGAAGCGTATATCATGAACATGATACCAGGGTTCAGAATGTATGCCTGTGAGAATATACTGTTATCTCATTCATATAGTGAGCAAACAGCAAGTAAAAGGTAGAAACATCTGACAGGATCTCAAAGAAAGGTTAGAAGCGCCAGTTCTCCAGTATTCAGTGACACAAACATTTGACCTGAAACTACTAATCTCTTCCTGTGCCAAGGCAACATAACACATATCAACACACAAAGACAAGGCATTAATACATGACGGAAAATATGAGGTGATTTCAAGTGCTCTATTTATAAGGGAAATACACTGTGATTCCTACACTTGCCATTTCAGAATATCACGAAGACAGTCACCTCTAAATGATTTAAAGGACCCTGGTTATTTTCTACAATGTGCAAGGGCATTTGAAACCATAATAATAAATAGTAAGAAGTGTTCACTACTTTACTATAAATTGTAAATGGTCATGGTACAAAGTTTTACCTTAGGAAAATAAAGCTAAATTTACATTTCTACAGATATATGGACTTCTACTGAAGCACATGATTTCTATTATGTGTTTTGTGTGTATTATGTGTTGCCAGTCCTTTCAAGATAAATGAGATATTTAAGGAATTTTTTTACCTTTCCAACCCTCTCCCCAGTAATTTTCCATGGGGAAGTAGGAATTTGAACCCAGATCTCCTGAGTCCATCACTACACAGAATAACAGAATTATTTCTTACCTTCCGTAATAAATGAAGACCAAGTTATAAATTGGTAGCAAGTCACCTTTCCTTTATATTAGTTCATAATTTCCCTATTCAGGGAAATGTGAAAGTTTGATCAATACTTTTGGGGCACTGGGGACCAGACTTAGGTTTGCAACTGCACTCTGAGGCTGTAACATGTAGCTAGAGCTAATGCAGACCCAACACTGCAATATCTGATACTGAATACAGCCGTAGTTAATTACTGAACCTGATGCGTTGATCCTTGCTCCATATCACCTATATGCAACTCAGAGCTAGTTCACATTATGAGCTTGCTATTCTTTTTTTTTTTGGACTATTAGAATGCCACAGGTGGACTATTAGAATGCCACATGGTGACCCTAATCAACACTTTCCACAAATGGTGGCTCCAAATGACTAATCCTCGCCACATGTCCACCCTCAGGGTCATATAACATAAACATAACATGGAAATCTTTGTGCCAAAGGTTCATATCCTAGAAATAATGTTACTCATAACTTTGTTTCTATTGTTAGCCTTACCCCACATAATGTGAACAGAAAAAGGTAATAAGCAACAACCATCAGTGGAAAATCCCTTCTGCACAGACAATCTTGCTAAATATGAAGATCCACAAGGCCTAAACTAGATGGAAGAAATTTGAAAGAAGGTAATGTTGAGTAGCATCACAGATGGCTCATAACTGGAGTAAGTGAGGGCAGCAATAAAGTATGTTTGGTAGGGACATGGGAGAGGGTCTTCTCTGTTGCTGCTCCCAGACTCTGGAACTCCTTCCCACAGGAGGCCAAGCTGGACCCATCTTTCTTGTCCTTCTGATGACTGGCTGCCTGAGTGGGGATTTTTAATGGGTGGTTCTGCTTTACTGCTTTAAATGCATTTTTGGTGTTGCTTTTGTTTACTGTCTTTCAGTGTGATATTTGTCTGATCCTTTTTAGTATCTGTACGTTCATTGTTTTTACTGTGTTCCCCCGAAAATAAGACAGGGTCTTATATTAATTTTTGCCCCAAAAACGCATTAGGGGTCATTTTCAGGGGATGTTTTATTTTTTCATGTAAACCAATCTACATTTATTTAAATACAGTCATGTCATCTTCTGGTTGCTGCACAATGGTGGAAGGCAGGGTTTCACTTAACTAGGGCTTATTTTTTGGGTAGGGCTTATTTTTCAGCATCCTGAAAAATCATACTAGGGCTTATTTTCAAGTTAGGTCTTATTTTCAGGGAAACAGGGTAGCTTTCCATATTGTCTTTAAAGCCACCTTGGGTCCTTTTTAAGGAGAAAGGCAGGGCTACAAATGCTTTAATAGAGGTGTGTATGATCTGGCCATGATTGCAGATGAGATCTTCCATCCTATTTTGAGGTGGAAAAAAGCATTATTGTTTTCTTTTATTTTTTAAAAAAATATTTTTCCAATATTGCACTGCATCACTTAATCACTATGCCAGTTACAAAAAAAATTAAAGGAAAAAGGAGAAATGTGGAGCTGAAACATGGCACTATGCCCTCCCTTTGTGTGCATAAAACACAGAATTAATGCCCACCCACAAGCAAATGGAAGCAGGCTGTTTCCCAAAAGAGAAGAGAGGAGGTGGTGAGCGAGAAGGAGAGAGGCCTATTGGAACCAAACTGATCAAAATGGAGTGATTCAAGGTTCCCTCTAAGATGTGCAGCTGCATGTGTGTGTGTCTGCAACTCCACCTCCCTCTGCCCAGCTTTCCTCCTCCTCTGCACAATGATCATCTTCAGCTCTTTTAGTTCTAGTCCCGACGGAGGCCCATATGTAGGGGTGAAGTCACAAGACAGATGGGGCTGAAAATTAGAGGGTACGTTGGAGTGATCAAAAGCCAACATGTGGTTGACTAAATGGCAGCTACAGGGGCTGCAAGAGTGGTTTCCATGTGAATGAAGAGCAAGGCAATCAAGCTCCACCATTCGAAAGGGATCTAGACCCACTGCTAATGTAGCTGTACCCTAAGATTTATGAGTCGTTGCACCAGCAATTAAGTAGTGAGAGCAGGATGCATCATGATCTGAGTTACAAAGCCAGAAGTCTACCTAGCCCAGTACTTTCTATTCCTGAATGGCAGGAGGTCACAAAGAATAAAGCCCAGACCACCTAAAGTCCTGGCAACCAAAAATTTCTGGCACTGAACCTGTGACTTCTGTTCTGTTGAATCATAATGGATTCACCAGTATCTATCTTAGGAAATCACAAGATGTGACCTGAAAACAGTGATGAGGGGAAAAAACAAACCAGATGTATCCACAAAACCATTTTAAGGCACAAAGAACTGGCAAAGAAAAGACAGTAAATTGGGATATGAATGATTTATACACATGCACCCAGATTACTGTAAGAATGCTCATAATATTTTAGGGAGTTTAAACCACTTACGTTGTTCATGGTTTGAGACTGTTTGGGAGCCATTCACAGAATTTAGACTCAAATAAAGATTATATGAAAAATGAATTTCAATCACATCTACACCAACACATCTAAACAACTTCAACTGGAGTTGAAACTAAAACAAACAATTCAGCAACTTAGAGGAGGCAAGTATTTTGGAGGAAAGAACAACATAGGGTAAGTGTAGCATTGCAGGAACCTCAGGCTTACACACCTCTGCCCCCTGCTTTCCACCTCCTTTTTCCTGTCATGCACAAACAGGAAAAAATGTGAACAGCAGAATAAACAGGCACAAAATTTAAGTGACACAGCCTGTGACAAAAGAGAGCACAAAGTCCTTTCGCAACACTAGTAATAAATAGTGAAACTGTTTACAACTGCTGTCCATTCATAAAATCTTAAATGGAATGTAAAATAAAAAATGAATAAGATAGCTTCACCTTTTATTTTGCTATTACATTTCCTCACTAAGTCTACATTGCCTGTTCTCCAAAAGAAATAGACTGGAGTGCCAAGAAATGCCTGCCACACCTTATACTTAAATCCATTTCTTCTCTACAAAAACAAAGCAACAAAAGTTGTACTCATATTTAATATACATACCAGTTTTAATGAGCTGTGTAACTTACTTGCTATAGCCTTCCTCCCATTGCTTTAATTGCTTTTTTACTGCTCTGTAGTTGGTCTGTAACATCTGTAGCCTTTTTCTTCGCTTTTCATGGACTTGCCCCAGCTCATCGTTTTCTTGGATCTGCATAACACCAAGATGTTAGTTAAGATACTGGAAATACTGAGTAAAAGATGACAATTTACAAATGGCAGTATACAATAATTAAGTTCCTTATTTAAAAGCAACCATCAACATGCAATTTGTATCTTCATAAATTTAAAGGGACTACATACTGGACAGAACTCAAAGAACAATGCAACCAGTTCAGCTTAATCACTGGGCTTTATGCATGCATTTCTGGAGCAGCACCCAACAGTGCTGCATGGCCTTACCACTTTTGAAACTAAAGGGAAATTTAAACATCAGTTCACAACATGACACTGGGATAGGGCAGGCAATAATCATTAGTTCAGTTTTTTGAAAGTTAAAATCCTACTAATGAATGAATGAATTAATTAATTAATTATGTGCCATCACATCAATTGCCAGGATTTCCTAGGTATAAAGTGCCTGGAAATGGGTTTCCAGTCCCTTCTTCTGGTGGTGCTGTGGACTGTGCAGCTTGCCCAAGGCAACATAGGCTGGTTCTTCTCCTGGGAGTTACACTGTGGAGTAAAATCTCTGACCCATGGCTCTGCAGCCAGGTACTCCAACTCACTGAGCCTAGAATTGCTATGCCATATTCACACTATTGGTGATGCTTCAGGAATTTACTCTGAATAGTGAAAAACATTCTATTAGGTTCCATCTCCTGCATAGGTATTTTGGATTGAAATGAGTATTACATAATACGACCTACGTATTTTCTTCCATGCTTGTTTTTTTGAAAATTACAAAACAATAATGTATTGAAGGTGTACAGATTTAATCTTAATACGCCTATGTGACAGCTATTGGTGTATGTCATTCACACTAGTTTCTGTGCTCTTAGGAAATGAGTTCATGACCACATGCGATATACTTTGGGTGAGAAATAAAAAAACTACACAAACACATTCACAGATATGTAACACAGATATTGATTTTTAAAAGTTAAAAGGATATTTTTGAATACTGTCTGAGATAAAGTCCTTTGTACTTTACTCCACTTAGAAGACAGCAACACATGGTACAGGCTAAGAGTCTATAATGCTTTGTGACCAAAGGTTATGTACTCAGGCATGTTATCATGTACACTGAGTTTCGCAGAATGTTTGTGTAATTCTTATTTGCTGATGCTACCTGAGAGCTAAAAAGTTGTTCTGTTTGTTAATTTTCACCTTTAGCTGTAGAGCCTTTTCTAAGTTTTCAATTTTTCTTTCAGCTATTTTAAGCTTCCTTAGTTCCTCTGACTCTTTCAAAAAGCTCCTTGGGGACAGAGACCTTGAACGTTTCACAGGTGGTTCCTGGAGAATAAAACAAGGACATGGTTGAACTGGTTGGAACACTGGATTATGAAAGACATGCAAAATTAAAGAACAAGTAATTTTGAATACTAATAATGAATTATAAAAAAATAATCCTGCATGGAATACCAGAGAAATAACAAGCAGAATTACCACAGCGCTACCACTAAAGGTTTCTCTGTGACTCGTTAATGAGAATATTCATTTACATTTACATTGTTTCTTTCAGAATAATGATGTCCCATTAGGGAAGACTAAAGGGTTATAGACTCAGAAATGCAAGAAACCTCATTACAAAGGAGGGGATAGAGGCTGATCTAATTGCTCTATAAGGGTCCAAGGTTACACTTGATAGGACAACCAGAAACAAGAGGGAAAGGATTTTTCCCCTTTGAAATAGTTTAACACACTGTGAAGTTGAAGGAACAATATGCTTGAGGAATATAAATACAACAGACAGTAGATCTTACACCATAATGACCATATGGTCATTAAGTATAATATGCCTAACTAGAGACAAGAATGTGTGTTTATATTATCTGCAGCTTCATATAGCAATCTGGAGAAAGGATGTGTGAAACTAGCACTTAAACCAGGCAATCTTTTTCCTTGTATCATGTCATATGTCCTTATGAAAAAAGAAATGAAACATCCAGACTGGTTTTCCTGAATTTCTGAATACCTGTGGCTCAATTGCTGAACATCTTAGTATTACAATTTTATTACTAATACTTTAACTGAATATGATATATAATAGTATTTTTCTTCTTGTTGTTTCTTTGTGTGTTTGTTCTGTAAGCTAAAGACTCTCTCACTTGTTCAAAATGTATACGGGTTCCTCTTTTAAGGAGAAAAAAAGCATAGGCTGCTGAATATTCAAAAATGAAAGGTTTCAGGGAGATTCACAAATGACAATTTGAAGAAGGAGGACTTATTTATCACAGGCCATCCGTTCAAACTGTGGAGGAGAAACCCTGAGGTCCAAACTGCACACAAATAGTGAGATCTGTCAATATTTGTATAAAAATTAAGAATAAGTTGTGAACTAGCTTAGAGATGGCTGTTTTAACTGGGTTATCTGCCCTGCAAATCTCCTTCCTCAGTGCTGTCTTGATTGAGTTTTTCAGCCAAGCTAGAAGATGTCATAAGCCTTGCTGGGTGACTCTGGAGTGGTGTTGGGGTCTAGATATAATATGGACACTTTTTATAATCCACAGCAAGCTAATAGTTTGGGAGGCAGGTTTTCAATCAGGGAAGTCTAAAAGAAGAAGAAAGTGAAACACAAGTGCTCCAAACCCCTCAATAATTTTCAATTAAATAATTACATAAACATTTGTCTTATTTTTCCAGCTGGAAGATGTTATGAGAGGAACACACAAGGCCCATGGGAAAACCATATTAAAGAACATTTTGTGAATGAGAACTCACCAACACAGATCATCTATAGGGTTACTATGATCTATGTAACTAGAGCATCATTTTAGTCAGTCAATGTAATTGCACGGTTTCCAAGAACACAGTCACCAAATGGAGGTGTTGGTTTACCCCCACAAAAAAGCACATAAATACTGCCATATCATATATCTGGTATTAGCTCCAAATACTCTACAGAAGCACATTAGAACTAACCCTGAAACTTCATCAGTAGTATTATCGTATTGATATATCTTTTTCTCCTTAAAGGTCCCTAAACGGTCAGGACAAAGCAAAGCAAAAGCAAAGTGTGCTGCTTATATACCGTTCCACAGTGCTTAAAGCACTCTCTGGGCAGTTTACAAGTTAATTATTCAGGCTACACATTGACCCCCACCAGCGAGCTGAGTACTCATTTTACTGACCTTGGAAGGATAGAAGGCTGAGTCAACCTTGAGCCGGCTACCTGGGATTGAACCCCAGGCCGTGAGCACAGTTTTGGCTGCAGTAAAGCAGTTTAACCACTGCATCAAGAGTCTCTGTGGACAGCAGAAGTTCTTGCACAGCATACTGCACAACAACCTTTTAGAACCCTGCTTCTTACTCCCCCCTGCCCCCACTTACTCAGGTGTTGGACATTCGCTTCCTACTGTTGGCAGTATAACTGCAGCCTGTGGTTGAAATCTTTGATGTTTCCAGATATATTGAACAGCAACACACCCACTTTCCTGGATTCAAGAAAAGTGTTCTCAATTCAACAGAAGTAATCTGAAGTTCTGCTTATGATCACAGCCAATATCAGATTAACTGTTGTGGTAAAGAGTGTTTCTTGTTGATAATGCACGAAGATGCTGTACTGAAGATCACTGTAATGCTTGTAGCATTGTAGAAATGATCATAATAACAGCTCTAGGTAGCACAAACAATGCTGGTACACTGCACATTACAAAATACATTTTGCTGTAGATCAGCTGTAGTTGATAAGCCAACAAGAACATGTCCGGGGAAGATTCTCAAGGAGTATGTTTACAAAATCTTCAAGAGAAAAAGTTAACACAATTTTAAAAATAAATATTAAATTTGCCACAGTTGTGGGTCCAGTATGAAAAGTTTCATCCTGTGATTTTCTGCCCAAGGAACAAGTGAAGTCTCAATGCAGCACAGCTAAAGGCCAGAGATGGGGCAACTACATTGCAATACACTCCTCCAATTACTATGGGTTTAGCACAACACAACTCAATTCAAAATTTCACAACTATGTGGTAAGCACAGGGGAACCTGCACTTTTCTTCAAAGAATAGTTCCTTTTTGCATATCCATTGGGAGGCTGTTTATTTTAAGTCACTCTACTTTACCCTCATGACACAGTGGTTAAACTATTGTACTGCAGCCAAAACTGCTCAGTTCAATCTCAGGTAGCCGGCTCAAGGTTAACTCAGCCTTCTCTCCTTCCGAGGTTGGAAAAATGAGTACCCAGCTTGCTGGGGGGGGAGAGAATGTGTAGTCTGCATAATTCTAAAATGCCCAGACAGTGCTTTAAGCGCTATGGGGCGGTATATAAGCAGCATGCTTTGCTTTTTGCTTTTACACTATGCTGTGGGGTTTTTTTGGACTGTTTTTTTTTGTTGTGTAAACAGTCATGTTGTTGTATTCTATGTGCAGAGGCACTCCCTGTACTGATATCTTGGTGATATCTTTGAGCTGGTACAGGATGCTATTCCATTAAGAAACCAGCAATTATGTCTGCTGTTTGAACTGTTGCCCTTAAAAAAATTTTAATAAACCATTCAACTTTAGTCTGTGAAGATTCTCAGTTATCCAGGTGATGTTATCTGGAAGTTGAGTCATGGCAACTGAACTTCATTCTTGTTAGGTTGAAACATTTCGCTAACTCATCCAAATAGCTTCTTCAGTCTGAGGAGAGTTGGTAGGAAACTCCTGATATATTCTCCTCATTGGCTTCACTTCCCCTGGTCTGAATAGGCTCGTTAAAAGGACAAAGGACTGGGGTAAGGGTTAATCCCACTACATTATTAGCAGTTCAACTTTAGCGCTTCATCAAATAGGAGCTGGAGTATTTCTGTCCACAATGCGGATGAAGCACTATGCTATTTACAATAAAAAGAAGATATCAGATTACTATGCAATAGTTTCAGGGTTTCAGCAAGAGAATGAAGGTCTTAGCAAACAAGATCTGATGAAAGTGATGAAAGAGGGGACATTAGATGCCAAACAATGTCACTACACTGTACCTGATTTATATTTGTTCAATGTTGATTACTTTTACGTTGTTATATTGTATATGATTATTTTTTGTTTTGTTTTCTGTTATTTGATTTGTTTATATTAAGTTATACGTTTGTCTTTTTCTTTTTTCTTTTTCCTTTTTCCTTTTCTTCTTTCCTTCACCATTTCCCTCCCTTCCTTTCCTTCCCTTTCCCTTTTTTGTCATGGAATGGAAGGCCTGCCCCCCCAGCGAGTGGCCCCAAAACATCTCTGTGATCACGGGTAGAGGGCGATATGGCGTTGGCACCGTCCCTGCTCGTGTTAGAAAAACGACAGACAGATGTTTAAAAGCTGTTCATTGTTCTGAGATGGTAGGGATCCTAGTGCAGGGGTTCCCAACCTGTACCGAGGTAGTCAGACCAGTCACCCCTCCACTCTACGCCTGGTGTTGTTGAATGCCAGGTCTGTATCTAACAAGGCCAAGCTAATTTACAACCTGATTCTGGAGGAAGATGCAGACCTGGCCTGCATAACCGAAACATGGATTGGCGGAGAAGAGGGTCCCCCCCTAGCTCTCATCTGTCCGCCCGGTTATGCTGTCCAACACCAGGGTAGACTGGAGGGACGGGGGGGAGTAGCCATTGTTTACAAATCCATCCTGGAGGTTACTAGGCGCTCCTCGGTGGTGAAGCCGGGTCTTGAGGCTCTCCACATGTCGATTGGGGCCAGGGATGGTATTGGGATCTTGCTGGGCTACCATGCTCCCCGCGACCCAGCCATTTCCCTACCGGAGCTGGTGGACTTTGTCTCTGCGGCGCTGTTGGGTTCCCCAAGGCTATTGGTTTTGGGGGATTTCAACATGCATGCGGGGGCAGAGTCCTCTGGGCCAGCTCTTGAGTTCTTGGAGACCATGGCCTTCTTGAACAT